TCAAGTTCAGCCTGGAAGTTAGCACGCGGAAATACATTTATTCCTGTAAAAATGGCACTATTCGGGAACAAGTGCTACGGCAGACCCTATATACCAAGTGACAAAGGACGGAAGGGGATCGCATGTTCGGGGCAACCCCACCAACGAAGCGAGAGTTGCGCTGAAAACGATGGCGAAGCTGAGCGCGGTGCAGAGAGAAATTAGCACAAAAAATGATCTTCTGTTTCTCATCCCCACACAGTTCGATATCCTGGACCGAGGCACAGCCCAGAGCAGTTACTATTCTTCTTCAACTCCCCCAGGTCGTGCGTTCAGTTTTCTCGGAATTACTAAGCTTGAGTAATTACACGGCAAATCAACGTTACACCTGCCTAGGGGCTTCTATCAGTGCTGCAATACTATGCCACATTTCAAGTAAAAGGGAAACCTCACCAAGGGCAGTGGTGGTCAAAGCACGCCACACAATTGTTACAGGTATAACAGTGTTTGGCTCGTGGGGGTCTGTACACGTTGCAGGTGGCTGCAAAAGTGGCACCACAGAAAAAAACAGCCAACAAACCAGTGCTCACGCACATTCTGCTGCTGATAATCGTGCAGCATGCAAGGACAAGAGCAGGGTAGCCTGAGCAGTGTCACCTGAAATACCGCATACCAAGTACCAAGCACTCCTACACTGCTGTCCTTATTCAGCTGCAGCAATTGTTGCGCTGATACTACCCAGAAACACAATACCACGAGCATGTGCAGTAGAATGGCAGTAGGGTTGCATATTATGGGAAGCTTACAGCACCATCTGTGGATGAGGGTATGCCCGTTCAGCACAGATTCCTTCCATCGCTCTGCTGCAAAAAAAGCACGCACTGCTGCAGTTGCCACGAACTGTAGCCTCTACATGGACTCGCCGCAGGTGACAATACATGTGAACCTCTGCTTTTCCACGCCTCGTGAAATGCTTGTTTACAAGTATTGTGTATCCTGACAAATAATCAAGACAAATGGGGGTTCTGCAGCCAAACGGGAATAAGTCTAAACGACGTACTCACCACGCTGCGCTGTGCCTCGTGGGATGCTGCACGCAAGCACGCAGGCGCATCCGACAAGGAACCCCCTCAGCCGATCCCCACTCGCCATTCTCCCCATATCGGCCCCCTTTGACCATCTTCAACACATCATGGAATGTACAATTATCTCACGGCTTTGACGAGGAGCAACGTACATGCCGGGGTCTGTGAATGCGACGGTGAAGAGCATCAGAAGGCACAGAGCCAGCAGAGAGAAGACAACTGTGCTGCAAACAAACTGATCCGCCTCAGGTACCAGAGGCATCCTGCGGTCCAACATCAGCAGCATACTTTAGGCAAATAAGCAAATATGAGGTCGACAAGGAACACCAAAAGTTAGAGTGAGTTGGCAAACGAAGCTGGAGTTGCACCTATGGCAGTAAAAGACTTAAGAATCGGCTGCGTTGTATGCCTACACAGACTGATAGTAAACAAAGCAAGGCCCTAATAGCAACAGAAAAGAAACAGCGAGGTGGAACGGCTCTGGCCCTGTAACGAGTCGCCCTCCGCAGCAAAAGATGTTATCGCCCTGCCATGCTGCAACAACCAGCAACCACAGCCGCATGACCCAGCGAACAGCAGCAGTATTACACCACACCCCAATACACAGAAGGATAGAATAGCATGCTGTTGCTTAATCAGTGAACTCTGGGGAAGTCACAAGGCGTGTTTTTATAGCCCCTCCAATCGGGCGTGAATACGCGGACTGCAATTCTAAGGGAATTAGAACAGCCGCATCACCATCCTTACATTCATATACCCGTTGGCGACCCAACAACGTCCCCTGCTGAGTGGGTACCTCAAGCAAGAGCGATGGAAGCATTAACTGGTGGTGCTGCCGCTGCAGCAGCAACAACTGTTGCGCACGCTCCTGCTGCGCCTCAGTTGTTCTATCGTCCACTTGTGGTGGAACCATGAGGACAGACCCAATTCGGCAGTTGTGCCTGATTGTTGCTTGTAGCTGGTATTGCTGCGATGATAGCTGCGGTAGCTAAAGCACTTCGGGTCTGCCTCTGGCGCTTCAGTAGGAGGCACTAATTCGATTGAAAGCGTCCAAACAGTGAGTCGCCCCAATCCTACTGCCGTTGTTTGAGCTTCTACCGTCTCCCCAGAATACGTGAAGACAAAGAGATGCGTGGTCCATCAGGGCCCCCTTTGTTGCCTATGTCTTGATGGCGTAGTGTGGTGTAGGGAGTTAATATGCCCTACCACCACTCCCAACAACCTTGCTGTTCATTTTCTTTCCTCCATCTGTTAATTAAGTAATCTCAGTAGCTGTACATACCCTGCAGTACAGAAAGAATTTCTTCTTCACTATTGTTGGGCCCTACAGGTCTGTGCTCCACTGCCGCAGCGACGGGGCCAGTGACCAAGAGATACAACCCCCGATAACTATAAAGGAAGCTAAAAAAAGTTCTCAAACACCGCATGGAGAATTAGTGCAGTTTGCTTTTCTTCTAGTTTGTCGGGCATTTTTCTGTGGGTCCCTTGGCAGAAGGGCTTCGCCAGCGGTTCCAACTGAAATGCTCTGGATATGCACGGGATGGACGGGTGTGCCAGGTGCTCGGGGCGGTGTTAAACCCGTTAGTCCTGGCAAGACCTGCTCGTCTTTAAGATAAGTCTTTTCCCCATATAACTTTTCGTAACAATTTATGGCGGTATCATTAGGCAACAATGGACAACCACGGCTGCCAACATGTGCACTGTAGTGCGCAGGCATTACAATGTGGCTCTGGTGTGATCTCTAGTAGCTCATTGACCATAAAGAGAAAGATTATGACATTAGCAACTAAGAAAGGGAATTAGGACTGCAAAATGTTCTAAGGATCGAGTACCTTAGGTGGAGCCATAGGTTAGTATGATGACCCCCACCAGCGGCCTCTATCGGCAGTGTAGCGTATTACCTAATCACTCCTTGGGTACCAGGTAGGCTCCTTTAGAGATCTGGTTGAGAAACAAATAGAATTATTCACGTCTATAAATACAAATTTGGTGGATAGCAGTTATAGGTCAGGCTCCTGACTGTGTCATCACCGTTGATACCCCCCGTCATCCTACAGATTGGGCGCTGGACACCCAGCCGTGACCGGGGTCAATTCAGAACACACTTCTATTATTCTAGGAACTTCCCTTGTTTATAATAGAGATTCGAACATGATTTGGAATTTTAACCATTGACCTCTGGGGGATTGGGTAGTTAGAAGATGTAGTTAGGGAGCCAGACGCTATTAGACGACAACTGCGCTCACACAGCTTACGACGGCTACGCACTACATTGGGGGGCTGTTCCAACCCAGTGACCTTTTCTCTATAGTGGAATGTATAATAAGAATCAGCCGCAGCACAACCGTAGAGCTGCGGCAGAAGTTTATCACAAGGATAGTATCCGCCCACCGCCCGCTGTACAGAAAGCCGCAGGGGTGGCGTGAGCCACCCAGCGAGCTAGCGAGATGGGGCGGGGAATCCGTTAATACAGAGTACGAGGGTGGGGAGTTCTGCGCGGAGTGACGACAGAACTTCATGCCATTCCAGCTTCCTCGAGGTGGGGAAAGACGCTCAAGCGTGGGAGCAGATCCTCACAGGAAGAGGCTGCTGACCATGAGGAGGCGGATGTAGAGTCCATTAGGGACGAAGTCGAAGAGATGCAGCAAGCAGAACACGAGCTCTGCGGAAGGGACACGGAAGGGGCGAGAGAGCCCGCTAACCCGATTGACTAGGGTGTAAAGACCCCATGGGGCGAGAGGCTGGTGAGGCCGCAGAGTTTGACAGGTGCGGAGTGTGGTGCGGTGTGGACACTACGCATTTATGAGGGTAGATGCGTCTGGGAACCAATGCGAGTCGTTCGCGGACTCGGAGAAAGCTAAGTTTCATTAGTCAGGAAAAAGTTGATCGTTTACAACAGAAGGCGCCCCGACCTTCAGAGGAGTGGTTTACGGAGATCACTGGCGAGCAGATGCGCGGTGATCGGGTCGTCATGAGATGGACGACTTGGAGTGGAAGAATTCTTGAAGAGGCTTGCACTCTGTGAAGTTGTATTTAGCCTTGTTTCTTACTGGGGCGATGATAAGGAGGCACAGCCTAGGACGGCTGCGCACTACATGTACAGGCACGTCGATGGTAGCCGAGGACCGTTGTTAGCTCAAAACGCGTACGACGAAATAAATGTTCTCAGAAAATGCCAACCCCACACCTAGTATCAAGACGTCCTTGCAACAACGCCACGAAGACTTGAGGCTAGTGGCGCCCTCCCCTGTTTTTTCTCTTGTTGCAATTCCATTTGCGAGACAACCCCAGGTGCAGGCATGCGCAGTTAATAGCAGCTTTGTGCCAGCTCGTCTTGTTCTATTCTGAATGATAGTTCACCGTGCCACTGGAATGACAGAAATACAGGGCTGATGTCTGCGCAGAACATGATTCGTCTCACCAGCGTTCTACGCCATGACCAGGAATGACCGCCTGTCAAGCCGCATGGCAATGTTTAGTATGGGGACAGCAGCAGCTGTATAGACATGGCAAATTGGAGCATTAGCAGAAGAAACAGCAGCGCTTGAAACGCCTACAGGAGTTATGGAGCATGCAATGCGAAGGGAAAACGCAGGAGCAGCAAGATCAGCCACACGCTGAATGTTCACCTTGCTGTAGCCAATGCGGATCCCCACCTTGCACCTAATTCTGGTGCTGTTGCTGCTGTTCAATGGGCTTAGACGTTCAGGGGGCTATATCAGGCCTATACGTGCTCCATTCCTTGTACCGCCAACGAATTTCCACGATCGCCGGACTGGGCAGCTCAGAGCCCACGGTAACAGCAACACCAGTTGGAGCGACAATATCAGTAGCAACAGGACAAGCAGCGAAACGGCAGATTCGGAGTGTCCCAGATGTGTTTGGCTGCGGGCAGGCGATTCGAGTTCCCCTGTAGTTGTTGGGGACGGGAGGAGCATGGGATTCTCTGTGCCCGAAGGAGATGTTCATCATAGTCCGTCAGCAGAGCTAGCAAATGTAAACGCAGCAGAAGTTGCTGGATCCCTGGCCCCAGCAGCCGACGGGGCGCCTCCTGTCGTTGAGGTCGTTCCTGTCGAAGTGGGCATAGCTCCAGAGACGAACCGAGCTTTGGGACTTTTCCGAGGCTCACAGAGGCGGCACGTTTTCCTGCCCCTATGCCTTCTGGGTCCCATTCAGAATATAGAAGGCAAAGATGTGTTTAAGGGAACGGCCGCTCCTGCGGGCGAATCTTGGGATGGCCACGGGATGCTGAGTACACAGAAACCCTTGGAATCGCAGGAAGCCACTCTGCCATATCGATATGCATTCGGCAGTCCTTCTCCACAGTCCCTTCTGGAGGAGTTAAAGAAAGCCGTTTGTAAGGCACTTAAGCTGGGTGAAAACTTCTGCGGTGGACTTCCCCTGCAACTAGTGGCCCAGGTTTCTGCGCCGAAGACAAAGTGCCGCACTGCACTGCAGTCAGACAGCCTAGCAGCGAGTCATCTCCCCACAGGTGATGGGCTAGAGTCACCAGATAGGCCTCTGCCTGCGTGGCATTCGTTGGTATCGGAGGAAGAAGCCCTAAGGATTCTCAGGGAGCATTACGGGCCTCTCCTTGCCCAGTACAGACGGCTGTCCCACTCTCAAGCCTGCCTCCCCCCCAACAGAAACAGCAGTGTTAGCCAGAGCACCGACCAGAAGGATGACTTTAAGGGGAATTCTATTCTGCGCATCTTGCGCCTCCCTAGGGGACCACGGCTGTCGCTACTGTTGCAGCTGGAGCCCCCACTGCCTACGATTCCGTTTTCCACATCTGATGCAATGAATGACCTACCGAGTCCTCCACCCTTAGGTGCGGCAAAGAAAAGTGAGGTCGGCAAAGGTAGTACCCCAGCAGTCCCCTCGCCGTACCAGCTGGTGTCTCTCTACAAGTTCTTCCCAGTGAGTTCACCAAACGCACTAACTGAGCTGCTGAGGGCTCTGTGGGGCCCTAAAGGTGTGCTCGGGCGGGCGTATGTGGCAAAGGAGGGACTCAACGCCCAACTCGCTGTGCCGTCTGTGGCGATGTCTGATTTGCTTGGGGAGCTGCACCAGATTCCCGGGCTGGAAGACGGTATGCAGGTAACCCTCGATTGCCTCGTCACCTTTGAAGAGTACTGGAACTCCCCACCTTTCGATGCACTCCATATCCGGCCACGGCATCAGGTACTTAGGGATGGCTTCGCCTCCCCCTTAAACTGGGCAGACTGCGGAGAAGAAGTGGATCCCAGTGTATGGCATAACAAGCTCACTGAAATGCTGCAGCAACAACAGCGGCAACAACAGCCTATACGAAAAATGGTACTGCTCGACATGCGGAACGCAGATGAATACGCAGTAGGCCACTTTAAGGGGGCCAAGTGTATAGACACCCCAACCTTCGCGGACTCATTCCGTCCTGGGGGTCCGCTGGAGGAGGCCCTTCTACGGGCAGGAATTCAGCTGCCCTCCCGGAATGCAACTTCTCCTTCACCTAGCACCACCTGCATTGGCGAAGATGTAGAGGTCCTCATGTACTGCACAGGTGGAATCCGCTGTGTCAAGGCTGGGGCGTTCCTTAAGCAAGTCCTTGGTTTCCCGCGGGTCACACGCCTCAAGGGAGGTATCCTGGCGTACAAAAACTACATTCAGAGCCTAAGGGGAGCATGCCTTGAATGCACAGGGCGCGCCTCCTCTGATTCAGACGAAAAGGAGCCGTCGATCGGCGTGTGTGACTCAAGGAGAGATGACGTAGTCACATGCGACACCGGCGTGCAAGCAAAGGAGCAGCAGACGGCTGCCGATCGGACTGGTGCTGAAGCGGCAGATGTGCATGCGTTTAGCCACAGGAGCTTGTTTGTGGGGAGCAATTATGTCTTTGACCATCGAATGTGCCAGCAGATAACTCCGGACCTGCTTGCACAGTGCATTCTTTGTGGAGGGCCCTCAGGGCGCTTGTCAAACTGCAGCAACAGGCAATGCGGGAGACGAGTCGTGCTATGTTCTGGCTGTTGTGCCTCTCTCGGGGTTTATTGTTCATCTACCTGTGCGCAGCAGGGGGCGGAGGACCGTCAGAGAGACGCGCAAGCCAAGATGCAGAGGCGTATGCAGGCCCAATACACGCACAAGAGGCTGCTAAAGCAACGGGGACTGTGGGCTATCCGGGCTCAGCAGCTTCTGGCTGCTCTCAAGCACAACGCTGCGTCTGAATCACCAGTTGGTAACTCGTTCTGTTCCATTGGCCTAGTCGAGACGCAAAATTAATCAGCCCCTACAGCATGTCCTTGCCAATTATTTCACGGGCGTGGGGGAGGTCGCAAGGGACTGAGTGTGTCCCACACTGTGGAGAGTGTCATGCATGTGCAGAAAGCCCTCCTTCTTTGCGGAACTCCGAAATGGATAAGGCCTCCCTGGACGAAAGCCGTGCTGTTGCTGAGAAAACCACCACTGCGGACTTGTGGAACTGGGCACATCACGTGGCGGCTGCTGCGTCCTCCCCCTCAGCAGTGCAAGAGGCCCTATTGGAAGAAGGACGTAACACGGCGAAGAGCTTTGTTGGGGCGGCGAAGGGGGTCCGACAGTTCTGGTCGGGGCAACTGCACTCGCGCATTCTCTCTGCTATCAGCAGACTAAAGAGGCCACGCTCAATCCTTGAGATTGGAGCCTTTGTCGGCATCTCCTGTGGGGCCCCGCACTTTCCGCCTAGAGTGCACTGGCTCATATCAATTCGCAGTACCCTCAATGCAGCATGCCTGTTGCCTGCCTCCCCCTAGCTTTATTATTTTCAGATCAATGCTATGCACATTTCTATACTGCATGCGTACTCATCTCTAGACAAATCTGGATATTTCGAAGCCGCTTCCCGCATAGTGGTATCGTAAGTGCTGTTGCGTTGTTTGCCTGCCTCATGCGTGCAGCACTAGCCCTAGCTGAGGGTCTGGCATGCGAGGAAATTGTTCCCGGTGAGTGTGTTGGCCTTGTTTCTATTGAGAAGGACCCGCGAGCAGCAGAAGCAGCTCGTCGCCTCGTAAACTCATCCCCTTGGGCTCATTTAATTAAGGTGGTAGAGGCTGACGCTCTGCAGTGGATCCGGTCTCAGCTCACAGCGACAAGGAATATCTCGTCTGGGACAGTGGACTCCGAAGGGGCCCGACTGGGTACCGCACCTTTGCAAGGTAGCACACTTCCCGATCGAGGCTTTGACCTGATATATCTTGACGCTGAGAAAAAGAAGTATGCCGAGTACGTTGAAACTATTTTAGACCCCCAGAGACCCCTACTTGCGCCTGATGGGGCTCTTCTTATAGATAATACTCTGTGGAGTACGGGGCATGATGGAACGAGGCCCTTGTGGTGGGAAGACAGTGTCGCAGAAGAAGACCCCCCTCGGGCCAAGAGATATGCAAGGATTGCGGAGTCCATCAAGGCCCTGCGCGAGACTTTGCGCAACGACACGCGGATATCTCACGTAAGTAGCGTTTGCTTTATTGCTGGCGCTACCTATTTGACAGCATGTATCAACCCTCCTTCTCTAGTTATTGTCTCCCTACGTCCAGATGAGCGTATACAAGGGCTGCACATGGTCTATAAACAGCTTTGGTTACTCTCAGGCCGCCGCCGTTTTTGCCTCGCATGTTTGCCAAACGAGTATCAAAAGTTAAAACGAAGAGACCTTGTCGGTGTGCTTGCAGGTGTTGCTGCCGGTGGGCGACGGTCTCTCCATCGTGACGTGGGCTACCCCAGCGTCACATGGTTTGCCGTAACCGATAGCAGTCGGTGTGATTTCATATGTGTAATAATGCAGAGACCCGAGGGGGATAACGAAAATATCTCCGGGTGTTGGGTGTTAATACTGGGCGCCTCTTGCCAGCAGTGTCGCTTCTCCGCTAGTAAAAGGCTCTCCTTCACGGCCTATACAGCTTCCACGCTATTGTGCTGTAGTTGGAAAGCCAAGAGTTTTTGACAAACAAGCTTGGCTCACCGCTAGCGCTTTGCATAGGGCGTTTCCCATTCTTTGGAACACGCCTGTACCAAAACGCGTTTCAAGGCGTGGGGGCAGGTTCGAGCTGGAAACTTGCAAAACCAGTCCGCGCTTCGCTTATACTTAACTTTATCACGCCTGCTGAAGAAGTACTAGGGAAGAGCGCGCGTAGGTGCGTGACTGGCATTTGAATCCTCGTTTTTCTCATCTTTCTCCTCGAATTCCACAACTCATCAACCCATTTTGGCCCAAATAAACGCAGTAGATGGGTAAGCATTACTTTTAAGCATATACTTTTGAAGCTGAGCTCCCAGCCGAGGGAACGGGTTCGTTGAGGCTTGCGGATATTGCTGTGAATTCAGGTTGGTAACGTTGCATATACATTGCATTTGCATATTACTCTTATCACAACCACAGTTATATGGCTTCACGAGATTGTTTTGGGTGAATCATTCTGTCGCAATTATCATGCGCATCTCTTGGCGCTTGAGCTGATAGTCGATCTAAAGTGTACGGACAGAGGTTCCATCAATAAACGCCCTAGCTTATATTATGTAGAAAGTTGCACGAGGCATTTCAGCCCTCATAAGGCAAATATATGAAGATATTGCATTAATGAGCGTTTCTTCGTATTTCTTTGGATTCTGTCAACAATGAGAGTGGCACTTTTGCTGGATTGTCGGAGGAGGGAGGAGGAAGAGGGTGGGCATTTGAATGCAAAACTGCTGCAGTACTGGTGTACAGCACTCGAGGTAACGGCGTTTCCTTATCACGTAGAACTGCAGTTGGGCGAGTGCAATATGTTCAGGACTTTGCTGTATTTGGGTCTACGCGCTGTCCACAAGTTTCTGTTTCGACTCTCTGTACGGTTAATCATACGCTGCCACTTTTTCATTAGCCAATTCATACATGCATATTTTCAGTTGAAACGGGCTTCAAGGTCTGGATATCGTTCGAACAGGCCTGGACTCTTGAGACCCTCCGCACAGTAATGTCCCAGCTAATTACTACAAGTCTGCAATCGGACGGCGAACGGACAGAAAGCGAACGCGGATGCGATGCTACATTCTTGAGAAATTTCACAGGTATAGTTTCCAGTAAAAGGACTGTGTATCATGCCTCATTATGGTCTTATCCAGCAGAGTGGGTTGCGGCTGCACCAAACCTGGCTACAAAGCTCGTGATCGTCTCGCCTGATCTCACGCGGTGGACGGATGCTTTCTGCTCGCTGCAAGAATTTCGGTCGGGGAGGAAAACTGACACGCGGAATTTATCATTTGGCCGCCTGAGCATTGAATGCGTTGAAGGTAAGAGGAACTGGTGGACAGAAACAGCTGTTGCATTACTAAGCCTTGCCCATTTTGTCGCAGTTACTTCATCGCTTCCCACTCATTCATTTGACTTTTGTTCTCCCATTGCCGAAGTAACCCCTCAATGCTTTTTGATTGGAATATCCGGGATAATGGCTCTCCAGATATTGAAAAGCCTCTCTATCCGAGGGACGGTGAAGCAAATGGCTTCGTTGCAAACGGAATTCCTACAGCTCTTGCGCGCACTAATCACCACGGACGAACAAGTGAAGCTAAGCGTCAAGGGTTCTGTGAGCCCATTGTTGCCGGTGGTCCCCTTAATGCTAATACCACCCTGCAGACTCTTGCAGTAGGGCAGCTAACAAGACTCTCTGTTCGCGAGACACCACACCCACGCCCTTTTCCCTATCTCACTTTTGATGTTCGCTCTCGGGCTACTTGGAGAGCAATACCGCAGCAAGCAGTGGGTTTTGCGACATTTTCCTTATAGGAGTTGCTGAGAACGACTGCCGTTGCTTGTGCAAATGCTGTAAAAGCAGATTTGGGGAGTAACCATGTTAGTCCGCGACGGCCAGGAGGAGGGCGGTGCACAAGATACTTCAATTTCGGCTTTAGCCGAAGCACTTGATAGAAAGGCATGATCACCTGTCCATTGCTTCACACGCAAGAAATGGCAAAAATACGTCGCGTTTTAGGGAGAGGTGCTTATTCTTAGATGTGCACTGGACCCTCAGACGTTCGAAAGCTTGTACGCCTCACCTTCTTGAGCACCCATGCTGCAGACTATTTAACCTATGCAGGCCGGAGGAGCTTGGCATTCATCACTTGTTTGTAGCTCATCCACAGGCAGGATCAGCGCCCGCTGAACTCCTCATACAGGTAACTTTGATGGGGCGCATGGAAAATATGGAGAGGCCTTTTAATGGTGGCTCTTCACTTGTGGCAACACTGTCCTGCAGCAGGGACTCGGGGCCCCTCTCGGGGCCCCCGCCTAAATTTCCCTGTAGGTCGCTGGCTGTCTTAGCCAAAACACCAATAGTAAACTCATTATTGGAAATGCCGAAGACAACACCCTTCATTGTCTGGACTACTCGAGGTTGTGTTGGAAATTTGAAGTTCTGTACTTGCGGTTGCCGGCCTTGCGGGTCACTCGGACCCACCTGCTGTGAACCGGCCTCCCGCCAGAGGCTCCGCTGTTCTATAAGCAACACGTAGTGTATGGACAAAGAGGCTATTTCCCCACAAATGCCGGATTGCAGGAGGGGGAACACGAATTCGAGCCTCGGCAGCTGTTGCAGGCTAGGGCAAGGGCAGCAGCCACGAAGCCATAGAGCAGACTGGCCCTCCCTATGAAGCAGAAAAGAATCAGCAAGGAGACAAATGGCAGCAGCAACTCTACTGAAGCTGACAACGGAGCAGACGGCCGTAACACTGACCTCAAGTGCGGCTACCCAACAGCTCTTCTTGATTTACAGAACTCTGCCTAACGCTTTTCAACACACAGATATATACAACATACCTTATAGACTTTGGAATGCTTGGGCTCCTCATCCTGTGCTTTGCCATTCTTGGGCTGCCGTTCAGCGTGCCTCTGCGGGTGCGTAGTGATGCATTCCTGTCACCACGGTTGTTGCTGCCTGCGTTCCATTGGGGTCCCACAAGGCCTTTTCAACAAGCAGATGAGGGAGCCAGAATCCCCACTGTAGCTCACTGCGCCCTGGCTCTCTCATGGCTTCTGCGCTGGCCTCTCAGTAGTCAATGTTGCTGTGCCCTCCGGGACCGCGGACTACGGGGCCCCTACTGCTCTTTTCAGAAATCCCAAGAAAGACCTGCCCCTAACATTAAGGCCATGAATGCAAAGTTTCTTACATACGGCACAAAACATTCAGGATCGGCTATAGGAGCAGCAGAACAATTACCCTTTTCTCCAAATCCCCCATCGCTTCCGGAATGCGACCTCTGGCATCCTTTAAAGTGTACCCGTGTATTTGAGGCGGCCCGAAGATGGATAAACGCCTCTAGGCCACTGAGGGAAGCCGTTACAGCTGAGGCCAGATTACGGATGTTAATGCAACTGGCAGCGGAGGGCCCAGCACATGAGGGCCCCTCAAAGTTAGCAGAATTGCCGCCACATTCGGGGATACAGCGGGCAGTAGGAATAGGAGCTGCTGCATCAGCAGCACTTGAAGCGGAACCAGGTCAGCCAGAAACAGCCTTCATATCACCTTTATCCGCAGGGGTGACTCTGCTCGACGCATGGCGACCCGTTTCAGGCTGCGCAGCGGCGGCTACCGTGAGAGTAGCCTTGCAGCTTCCCGTTAAACATCAGTGCAACGGCATAAGCCGAAGCGTAGAAGGATGCAGCATGGGCAGCAGGCGATCCAGCAGCTTGTGCTGCACTGCAGGGGAGCTAGGCGCTAAAGTATACGTTTATGGGAAAAGCGATTCTCTTGTTGTTGGTGGCTTACTGCAGTTGCTCACAAGAAGCCTTAGTGGCGGTCCTCCATGTGGGGCATTCTTCTTGGCATCTCTAGGGCCCAGTAGGCTGTTGCGCCGTTGCAACGTGCTGGATTCGCTGCCGGATTTCCGCATAAGGGGCTTTCGGGAGGCCGTTGAACTTATTTCTCAATCCACTAGGGAGCTGCTGCTGCACTGGACAAGGTGTGAGATGGTCTCAACGCAGGGAGAGGGATGTCCTGACTCTGGTGGGATCGGAGGAAGGGGCCCTGCAGAGGTATCCGCTAGCCCAGTCACTGCGGGCAAGGCACAAACAGAATCGCCAACGACAGCGGCAGCCACAGCGACGGCACTAGTAGCAACGGCATCAACACCACCACCAACAGGGGACCTGTCAGATCCCTTCACACTCTCGTTAGAAAACACAGAAGCGCATCTGGCGCAGCATGGAGAATCAGCGATGTTAGTGGAGATAAGCCGTGCGGCTCTTCCCCTTGGTGGTGGTGTTGGTTCTGAGGTACACGTGCTAGTATCTGGGGGAGTGGATTCTGCAGTATCTTTGCTCCTTATGCGCGAATGGGGCTTCAGACCTAAGCCTGTCTTCCTTAAGGTTTGGGCCCCAGAGGCCGCTCAAATGAAGGGGCAACTGCACACTCAGCATCATAACAGGACGCTTTCTTTCGCTGCTGCTGCTGCCGCTGCTGCAGCTTCTTGCCCTTGGCGTGAGGATGCTGAGGCAGCAGCGTCAGTGGCAGCTGCAGCAGGTTTGCCGCTTGAGGTGCTCCCCATGCAGCAGCAGTACTGGGACAGGGTCATCACCACTTTCGTAGAAGGGGCTCGGTGAGCTATTCAACTTCCTAACTTTCACGTTGCAAACAATAGTCAATCCCATTCTCCCTTTCTGCCCAAAGCCTAGAAATCCAAGGAGGCCCTAAGCGGTTGATGTATATATGCCTTGTTGTGTCGAAGGGCGGGCTTGACGCTAAATCCCGACTGGAGCTGCAACTCCCTAGTAAAGTTTGGGGCCTTCGTCGAGACTCTTGGTGATCGAGACTTTCATCACGTAGTCTCTGGCCACTATGCTAGGATCCAAATGGATAGAGGTACGGAATAGACTAACACTGAGCTGCACAGGCATGGCATCCTAAGCGAAATGTTCCTCTGAGAGCCTCCAGTGTCGTGCAACGACAACTGCAGTGGTTTGTTCAGGTAATAGCGGGTGTTCCTCTCTTGTTCTTTGGAGCTAAATGCTGGCTCCTTCAGCAGAAATGGCGCAGCTGCATCCGAGTTGAATTTACTGAACTGTTTCGAGGACGTTTTGGGGTGCTTCCCGTTGCTGGTGTTGCTGCTTCTGCGTATCCTGCTCAGGGGCTCCACGGTTGCTAAGGGGAAGAGACTTGACAAAGGATCAGTCGTACTTTCTTTCTGGTTTGTCCGTCCACCAACTGTCTCGTTGCTTGTTCCCTGTGGGTGCTCTCATGAAGACGCAGGTAAGGGTGTGGAATATTTCGTTTCTGCATGTAGTCTGTGGACCCCTGAGGAAGCGACAGAAGGTGCAGTGCAGCGAGCTGCTGCAACGGGGTGTAGCAGCTCCTGCACAGGTAGTGCATTTTGCGTGTTAACTGCAGGTGAGGAAGCTGGCGGCTGAGTGGAACCTGCCTTCTTCACAGAGGCCGGATAGCCAAGGCCTCTGTTTCTTGGGACCTTTGCCAGTGGGACAGTTTCTGATGCACCTGCTCGGAGAAAAAGAAGGTCCCATTTTCCACTTTCCATCAGGAGCACTTGTTGGTCACCACAAAGGCCTTTGGGCATTTACTGCGGGCCAGCAGAAGGGAGTCCTGCCCCTCTTGGATCCTCGCTTATGCCGCCGCTGCGTTGGAGCTGCAGGCGGCCCTCCAACGCTTTCAGGGCCATGGAGTGTAGTGGGTAAGGTTCCCGAAGCCAACGCTCTTTTTGTAATCAGCAAGGAGGAGGAGAGAGCAGCAGAAGAGTGCGTCCGTAACCTCTCTGTGGCAGCCAGGAGTTCCCGGAAGTGCAGTGGTGGCTCCCTTCTAGAGGCTGCTGCAAAGACCGACAGAAGGGCCCTTCTTGCTTTGAGACTTAGACAGCTGAGAACTTGTTTAAGGGTGGAAAATATACGGTGGTTCAGGGAAGAAGCTCCTTCAGAGTTCGCAGGTTCTATCGCTGCTCCAGAGACGTCCTACCGGGATTCCGTTGCAGCAGCCGTCGCCGCAGATGCAGTTGCTGCAGCAAGCGAAGGTGACCCAGTGCTCCTTGGGAAGCCTGCAAATGGAAATTCCAAGAAAGATGCAAACCAAAACTTAAGGCTTGTTGTGCAGGTCAGACACAGCGCAGGCTTCCACGGAGTGGCAAAGCACAAATTCAAGATTTTGTGGACTTCAAAATGCCCATCACAAGGGCGCTTGGGGAGACTATCGGGGGACTCATCGTGCTCTTCTGCCTCTCACAACGACGCTGAGTTGCTGCTGGAGCAGCCCGATGTGGGCCTGGCCCCTGGGCAGATCGCCGCCTTTTATAGGGGCGACGAGTGCGTAGGCTCGGCGCGGATTTCTTCCCTGCAAGGCTTACCTGTGTTGAAGGCGATCCTGGGGATGGCGAATTGATGCTCAACGGAGCGCCCTATTACATATATTAGCCCCTATATATTTGTGCTGTGAAGAATGGGCAGAGGCACATCGTGCTCTTATTAGCGGACTAGGTGCTCAAGTGAAGACCGGCTCATGCATATGTCTTCCACAAGCAAGGACAGTACATCGGCCTCTTTTTAATCAGAATTGACAGTTGCGCACAATTTCCCCTGGCTAAGACTTCCACAAACTGAATCAGCAGGTGCGCGCAGGCTCCATCGAGGGCCTTTGCAGCAAATGGCACTTCTTAGTGGCCCATCCTGCCACCTTTAAGTGAAATATGCTGAGGGACGGCAGACGCGTTTGCAACCCCTCTAGTGCTTTTGCAGTGCTGTTGTGGGTTTTGCGAGGGTAGTGCAGTCGCAAACCACTTCCTGGCGGCATGCCACACCTGCGAACAGTCCTAGTGGAATGTATGTTGCAGCCTTGAATGGGCCTAACATTTTAGATTGTCTAGCGAACAGTATAACATTTTAGCTTTTTCACAAACGTCCAGCCGCGAATTTTATTAGCCCTGTTACCTTCTCCGCTATTCGAGGATCGTTCTTCTACTCACAGGTCATGGCGGAAGCACTCTGTGTTGAGGAGGGATCGGAAGGGCGCAGAGCCATGTTTTATTGTGTCAGAAGCCGCCATTCTTGCCAGGGGACCATTATTGTTAACTGCTGCCGCCACGTTCTAAGGTTTCAATTTGCTTATGTGGTCACAAGAAATTCCCAAGAGGATGTGTAGCCAATATGTTGATGGAATTGATGTAACAACCCTCCGTAAGCTGCGTCCAACCAACAGATGATTCATGTCCGAGTGCTGAGTGACGTGGGCAAAAAGACGTGCTACGGTGGGCTGAGATGTCCAGAATCTGCCTCTGAGCTATCACCATCCGCACCCAGAATGCAGGCAATTATAAATGCACGAACTAACTAGCTGTACTGTAGACCACCTACACCTTCCGGCGAGAAAACGCTGCAGTAACAGTTATGTGTCATGTCCAGTCGCTCCCACAGGCAGAGTTTTCAGGCATACACGCATAAATGCCAATTAACAAAATATCGAGCTGAATCGTAGAGCCTATGTTCTAATGTGCACATGAAAAAGATTCGTTCCCGGACACTAAAGGCGTCCGTGATGCCCACATCGCCAGCGCACAACCATCTATACTTCCGCAGGCAATGAAATCTGTAAAGTAAAACGCATTATTTATCGCCGAATCGGCAAGACTAATCATATATACCAGAGTTCGCAGCCTACACACTTCGCAGAGTGTTCTCGCCGCAGCACGGGGCTGTATGCTACCGCACAAGTTTAAGCATACAGTAGCAGAAGTGAAGGTTGCTTCTTTCAAGGAAAGGGAAAAACACAGTTAGTATACGAAGGAAACAGCATCAAGTATAGGGGCTACTGTTTGTTGTCGCTTTCCGCTGAACTACACCACAACCCCACCCCCTGACCCGTCCGATGGCGGGCCCACTAGCAACCCAGTTTGAATATGCTTCACCTTTATCCTCGTTTCCTACTATATTTTTATATTTACGCAAATGGAGACTGTGAGAGCTGCTAGGTAAGGACGATTGACTTCTTTCTCAAGCGCCCAACAGAACCCGTTTCCCGGTCCCCATTGTTGTGGGCTCTCTACAGGCTTCCTTGTGCTCTTTGTTTCTGTATCTCGCCAAGCACTCACTAATTACGCATATGCATCCCACTGGACCGGTTTATTGAGACGCGCAACACCTCCTTTCCCCCATTCTGTTTGAACTGTTATCGTGTGCAGGCGAGTGCCGTACGGCAGAATTGGCGATTTTGTGGGAAGGCGAATTCGTTTCATTGGACGCATAAAGGAAGCCGAGGAAGAAGCCATAATTCTCGAAGCTTCTGAAGGTGCGTACACCTTAACCTATGCCCACACCAGAACCAAGCGCACCTCTCCACCCAGACTGCACCACGCAAACCACCAAAATTCCGGACAGCTCTACACGTCCACCTCCCACAGCAACAATTCCAGAATAAAGATGCACAGGCACACAGGCATTGGTACACAACCAATTTAGCAAAAACAACTATTCGAGCTTCAATTCGGGTTTTGGCGCTGCTGCTGCTGCTGTAGGTAAATGCGTGAAGTGTTTCCTTCGTGGGACCCCTCCTCCCTGCCGCTACGTCGAAGTGGTGGCAACGGTACAAGATGACCTGACAATCAAACAAGGTGATCACGACCAGATCATACCCTTAGGAGACAACATAGGTGGGTGTTCCTTTTTAAGTGTTCCTAACGGGCTGCAGAATCACCACTGTAAGACTCTATGCATTGCAGCAACTGTGCAGTCGTTATGGCCCCCTTCACTGTTGTTACAGGAATAGCAGCTTCAACTTGCAAAACAGATCCACTGATCACAAGGAGTCTTGGTTGTGTGTGCTGTGGGAAGTACAGACATTGAGCTGGCTGATGCTGCTACAGCGGCAACCTTCCACCCCCAGTTCAGCCACATGTTTGAGGCGGAATAACCCATATTCCCAAGCGGAAGTTGCCGCCTCTGCAGGTAGAATGTGGCAGCAGCACTCTAGAAGCTTGGAGGCTTGATGCCCATATCCCATGACGTGGTTAGCACAGCTGTATGGGCTGTAGCCAACCATTTGCGAGGAGTTCATTACCTCTGCATTGTATGTAGTACATACGACATGAGGAAACCTTACTTTTACATAACGAGCTGCTTACGCCGACAATCCCGCACAGCTACCGCGGTGTCCAGTACTGCAATGTGTTGAAAACAAACTAATGAGTATTTAGCACGTAGTACTTTGTTCGACTGACCTATCAAATGCCACTATGCAAACCATAGCCGTAGAGCGTTGGGGTGAGTACTAGAGATGCTCCATTCCGATTTATGGTACTGCAAATCTTCCGGCGGCACGAGCTCAGCCTTTTTGCTGCGGAGGACGCCCCACTTCGTCGCAACCCCTTGCCGCCCAATTATGCACGAACAACTGGCCAGGAAGTACGACGGGAGAGACGATGACTCGACTTCAGCAGCAAGCTCGTAGGAGCGCCGGCTATTCTCCTGTTAGACGGTGTGGGACACACAGCGGTCAACTAGTACTGTCTTGCGTGTCATAAAAAGGGCAAGCGACTGCTTCCTCGCACCACTTTAGGGGCTGAGGCCGCGCTATAGATGCTGCATATGAATGGTGGGTGGGTGGGTAAGGGGGGTAGCGGGGACCCCC